GCAGTTTCAGTTTCATTTATTTTGAAATCAGATTGTAAATCTCGACTTTGTTGAACGTTTACGATTTTTGGATTTATTTTTCTAGCATTTTTTCTATCCTTCATTTATTCGGGGTTAATAACTTGCGCTCGATACCCTAAAGGTTAAGTTGGTGCAAAAGCAAAAGAAAAAAAAATGAAAACCAAAACAGTTGAATTATGACAATTTATAAAGTTTATTTGTTCGAAAAAAGTGCAATTTCAGCCGCAAACTGTATTCACATATGAATAAATAGGAAGTCAATGGTGCAACCAGGTTGTGGGTGACAAAGCCACTGGTCACGCGTGAGACTCACAACTGGTGCTACTTACTTTTGGCGGTAGTAAGCTAGTTGAATGTTGAACTTATGGAGGGTGGTGTCACAGTATTCTGTGCAGAATATAAATCCATATTAAAAAAATATTTATGTAAATACGTATAAATATACAGTGGCCCAAACGAGTGTTCACACGTTAGTTTTTTTTTATATATTTACAATGTTTTTTAAGTTAAAAATATTGTCCATGGCTTAAGGCCCAATTAGTCATACCATAACACCGTAGCCATAACCATAACCGTTGGTAAATTTTACGTTTTCGTTTTTCGCCATAACCATAAGCTAATCTGAAGCTTTTGACAAAGTGGATAAATTGACATTTAACCAAAACTAAGTTCAAGCTTTATACAAAATTTAGGATTACTTTTATTCCGAATTTTTTAAAACTTTGGGCTATGCAGTTGTATAGCCCATAAAATTTAAGTCGCTAAAGGTTTAAGAAATATTACTGTCGAAGGTATTTTTTGTGTGGTTACCACCTATTTTAAAATTTAAACTTAGTTAAATTCATAAAATAAATTAAATATTGTAATGTGGGTGCCAAACTAAGGCATACTGTTAAAAGTATTTTTGAAGAGGGTTGCTACCTATTTGAAAATTTAACTCAATTAAATTGATAAAATAAATGAAATTTTACAATATGGGTATCAAATTAAAATGGTTTAATGAATATTACTGTTGGGGACATTTTTGGGGGGGGTTGCCACTTATTTGAAAATTTTAGCTCAGTTAAATTTATAAAATAAATGATATATTGTAATATGGGTGTCAAACTAAGGCTTACGGTTGAAAATATTATTGAGGAGGATTGCCACCTGTTTGAAAATTTTAAACTCAATTAAATTGATAAAATAAATGAAATATTACAGTATGGGTGCCGAACAAAAAGTATTTGAGAACTTTTCATTTAGAAATAGTTTCAATAGGATTATCACCTATATGTGTGGCTAAAAGTAAAGGCTGAAAATATCGAAATTAAGTAAAATTCGTACCAAACGAAAAGTGTTTGGGAAACCCTTAGTAGGCAATTTTTTTGTAAATGTTTCCACCGGTCCAAAAGCCTAACGGATTAAATGAAGAAAGAATTTATATTTATTTATCATATTTTCAACCAAAAATTGATATACAAATTACACAATGAAAAAAATTAATAAAAAACGACTCACACAAATGTAAATAATAAAAAAGCGTGATGAAAGCATTAAAATATCGCATTAAAAATCCTTAATGAAACCCTAAAATTGTTGACACCATTCCCTAACATTATTGAACATCGATATTCAGAAATTAAAAAGTAGTATTTAATTTTGCTCAATTTTCAGAATTGATTGGGGAATGACATCGACGATTGACGAACACTCATATAAATTTCTTATTGCCGTTTCAGTCCATGGGTAGCGTTCGTGTGTGCCTTTTAATCGCTCATAGAAGAGTTCCTTGGAAGCCTCGTCTTTCTCTTGCGTCCGGGTCCCGGGTGCAAATAAGCAGATGTTGAAGAATCTCACTGGGGTGAACAAGCATGGCTTCTGTAATAGACGTCGCAGGACCTCATGCATTGTTTGCCTTCCTCCGTCCGTCGCATTTCAGACATTCTATGTGCGTATGCTTAAATCAAAATTCCTTAAATATTCGCCGTCCCTATCAACAAAAGAAAATGAGAAACCTTTTCCTAGGCAGTGTAGGCATTTTCTTTGAATTTTGAAGTAATGCAGTTGGAATTGACTAAACTAAAGTTTATTTACAATGAAGTAGCCTGTCCATATGAGTGTCCTTGAACTCGCTTTAAGCCCATGACTTTGGACTTTGATTTTTTTGCCTTTGCGAGCGATCACAGAGTGTAGAGGCAGACGGTTATAAGCATCAACGAATACAGGGTCTTTGTTTCAGCGAACTAGCCAATATGCACTTCGAAAATATGTTTTCAACCAGAAATCATTCGCAACCTGTGTATGTCAGAAATTTCTATAGAATATAAAACGGGCAGCCATTGTGGATGAGCGGTTAGAGGTGCGCACTACAACTTCGCAGGACCTGGGTTTGATCCCTGCACCGAGCAATATGTAAATTGGAAAAAAAAAATGTCTCCCTTATGTAGGCAAAGGCAAACTTCCGAGTGTATTTTCATAAAATCCATTTGCCGTTCAGAGGCGGCGTAAAACTGTAGGTCCCTTGCCTTTGTGTGATAACATCAAGGCGCCCACCACAAATCCGATGAAAAGTTCAGCCAAACTCTGACATACATATTGTGTTAACGCCAATCTATTATTATTATTAACCCTTCGTCTGACAAATGAGTCCAGCCAGGCCTTTTCCATTTTCAAAATACAAAAAAGGGTACTTTAAATATAGCTAGAGGCTTGAAATTTCAGATAGCTTACTAAAGTTTAGTGAATTACCAATCTGTAAAAAATCGTGTTGGTATCATATATATAAAGCTAGATATATAGAGATGTTGATGAATACATCACATTCGTAACACATAGGTCTGGCTGGACCCACATATATTCCTATGTAATTTTTACCTAAAATGAAAGAATGCAACCGTTTTTCAAAGTGTTATTTTGAATTTTTGAACTATCATGGCAAGAGATGATTTGCATTTTTAACCGACTTCCAAAAAAGGAGGAGGTTATCAGTTCGTCGGAATATATATATTTATTTTTTTTATATGTATGTTACCGCATAACTTTCCGACCGTCAACTTTACTACCGTCAACCGATAATTATTTTTGCATCGGAAAGGTAGTATCTCGGAGGTGGTGCCATACTAATTTGGTTAAGATCCGATCGGTGGATCATGAGATATATCTATGTATATAATATGCGAAGGCATTTTTTGTGCAGCATAAAAGATCTGCACCGTTCGTTCGGGTTGTCAAATTAAAGCGCTTGGCCTGTAGATGTGCAAACTGGTTTTATTTTTTCGAAAGGGGTTGCCACCTGTTAAATAATTATACTCAAGTTATTTACTAATCAATGCCCTCAGATCCGCACCGCCCGTTTAATTTTCAAAAGTGAGGTACCAAATTAAAGGGCTTAGGGTGTGGATGTTCAAGAAGGTTTTACTTTTTCGTAAAAAGTTGCCACCTGTTAAGAAATTAAGCTCAAATTAATTAATAAGTTAAATCAATTATTAAATATGGGTAGCAATCGAAATGGTTTTGAAAAGGCTTTATAACTTAACTACGTATAGGAGGGTTGCCACATGTAAAATTTTAATTATGTAAAGGAATTTGGTAAGTGAATAAGGTATCGCTATATGGATATCATATAAAAGAGGTTTAAGAAGGTAGTAGTTTGGAAATATTTTGAATAGGGTTGCCACCTATTTAATTGAACTATTGGGTATAAGTTGTATGAAATATGAGCGATGGATGTCAAATGAAAGAGTTTCAAGAAATTATTGGGGGATTCACAACGGTGTCGTAAGTGTCGTATTGTTGTATGTCGTAAACTTTAAAAGCACCACTGAGAAGTGGCTTAGATTAATCATTAGGAATATTTTTAGAGGTTATTTAATAGGGTTTCACCTGTTTAAAAAGTTTAATTAAATGTTGGCGTTTTGACGTCATGCGGGTTCACTAGTATATATATCTATTTTTTTATATGAGAATTGAAGTCGGTTTTTTTTTGCAAAAAATTACTTGTTTCCTAAAATGATGTTACTCGGAACTCGCTTGTGCTATGCTAATCCTCTTTTGACCACAGCGCTCAATTTTTCGATGGTCCAGCAATTTGTTTGGAGGATATGTTCATTATACCTTTTATATTAACCCAAGACACCAAATGCCAGCAAGCAAAATATCCCAAGCCATTAAGCTGCCACTTAAATTTTGTAAAAGTCACGAGAATTCGAGCTTTTTAACTGAAGAGGGGTAATATGGTCCGATGGAACGAAAATTAATTATTTCCAAAGCGATAAGAAGGCATATTTTTGGGAAAGACCTTATTAACATCTTCAAAAACACCATTCCAAGAAAAAAATCTAACATGGTGGCCAGCATAAATCCCAGACCTCAAAGCTATCGAAAAATTGAGCGCTGTGGTCAAGAGAGGATTAGCATAGCACAAGCGAGCTCCAGTAACATGAAAGAGCTTTGGAGGTGAGCAAAATTATAATGGGGTAATATTCCAAGGGAAATCATAGAAAACTCAGTAGAGAGCATTCCCGGACGTATGAAAATCGCTATTAAAAGCAAAGGAGTCTCCATAATCCTCTTGATATATACTTCCTAAAAGTAAGTTCAAAACTGAGTGAAGATAGTTGCCTTGCGTTTTTGCTGTGAATCACTTGTTAATTTTTCTATTTACTGGGCTTTATATCTCAGATAATAAGGAAAAATTTTTGAAAATTTCAAAGCAATCCGCTTATTATTAAAAAAGTTATGTTACTGTAAGTAATAAAATGTCGAACATGCACCCGGTTTTAATCGCCAGTGTATTTAAATAATAAAATAAAAAAAGAAAACCTTTAAATTAAGTAAATATTTGAATAACTTACAATAAATAAGTTTAACTGAACAAATGTTGCACATAATTTCTATATAAATTCATACAATTTGCATGTGGGAACAGCCAGACTCATGCGTACCGAATGTGCCAATCGAAACATGTGTCTGACGGAGAGTTAATCGAGAAAACTCCATTGTCGTTAATAATTTTTATTACAAAATGTTCCAAGTGGTTTACATATGAACTGTTTTGCTTTGAAAGTCGCATAAGCCATTTCATGCCATATGACTTCAGTCATCATTTGCCCATAACTGAATGCGTCTGCTATTCGTTCAACTTTATCAGCCGAATGTTAAAGGTTCTGTCATTAGTTTATGATGGCAGAACCAAGACGAATTCACATAAGGTAGTATCGGGTTAACAAACACAATTACTTGTGTTTTGTTTTTGCCTTTAGCGGGCTTTTTTCAAATTTCAGCTATTCTTGCTCGCATGAACAAAGGGCAAGAGAAAATGGAAACACTATCACGTTTTCACTCACTGCATAGCGAAATACAAAATGAAACAACACCACCCACCCTATATGAATTCGCCTTTGGCAGAACGATTCACGGATGCGTTCAGTTAGATTTAATTAACCATTTAGGCACAAAATGTCGTAATGACTTTTGCAGCTTTCAAAATAAATGGCTCATATGCATGTACGTATGTTTCCACAACCAATCAATTTTAAAATGTATCGGACTGTTAAAATTTAAAATAGCAAAATTTCCTAACAAAATTGTGTTATTTTAAATTTTAACAGTTTGATATCTAGTTTTACCATTCAATTTTAACATTTATCGGACTGTTAAAATTTAAAATGAAAAATTTGTCATTTTAATTTTTAACAAGCTGATAAATTTTAAATTGATTGGTACAACCGGGCATAAGTGTATTTGAAATTTTCAAAAAGTCGTTTTAATTCTATGATTATGCCTTTTCTTCTAAAGGTGAGAAATTTTTCATTGCCAACCGCTTAATACATTTTTCCGTTGGCCGTATCATCATTTGCGCAAACTTCAAGGACTCATTCCTTTTTATGCCGATCCAAGTAACGCTTTGGCCGTTGTGTTTTTGAGAATAGTCTCCATTCAAATTGCTGAGAAAAACGGTATTTAAAATAGGTATGTTTGTAAATCTATGCGTAAGTAAGCAAAATATAGTTCAATTCACCTGTGGTAACACTGTTTGTACCACCAAGCTCCTCTCCAACGTTCGGCACAATTAATACCAGGGTTTGCATCATTATCTCGATCGAATGTTGTGAACTTACTGCCTTCATGATACCTTAAACCGTATCCAGCATTTCCTGTGTAATTACCAAGTGTTCGCAAAACATAATCTTCCTCTTCGCTACCAATGACGAATAAATCATATTTTGCATAGTACTTTGTGCCATTGGACGTTTCCATTTTTATGTACAACTCTTGTTCACAACTCGCGGTTAGAGCGTGTAATTTATTCAAACCTATCCAATAATTTCGCGACAATTCACCAAATCCGTTCTTATATTGTTCCCAATTTCGATAGAAGTCCACTTCCGCACTTAGGCGTCGCTGAATGACAATCCAACCGCCAAAATCCGTATCCTCATCACACCACACCTTGAATTGTTCATCACCAAATAGCTGAGATTTAATGGTATATATGCCACTTTTACGCGTACCAGCGGCTGCCTCCATGCAATTGGTGGGTCGGCTTGGACTATTTTGCAAGAAAGAAGAATTTTAAAATTAGTAAATTTCCGAACTACATTGTGGACAATGACATCACACAGCGCACTACCTTTTTTTGCTCAGTTTGCAGTTTCAAAATTTGTGCTGGAATTTGCTTCACAAGTTGCTGCAGTGACTCCAATTGGGCGCTGAAGTGTTTAACAACGTCTATTTCGAGATCACAGTTGCAGTCGCAAATATCTTCCAGTTCATTATTTTCACCCAAACAAGTTTTTATTCCGCATATTAATATGAAGTGCAATAGTATATGCGTTTTTAGATACATATTTTCTACGGACTGCAAAGTTTAGCGATTCGCACAATCGAGTGAGCCAAACAATACTGTATGATTTTTTTCTTTCATTTGCTGATAATGATTCGCTTGCATTCTACATATGTACCTACTTATATATAGTACTTAACAGTAAAAATATGCATACATACATACTTAGGCTATATATGGGTTTAAACAACTATGCGATAAGTATAAAATTATTTGATTGCCTCAACGGAAGCCTCGCTTTGTTTTATTTCATATCAGCGTGCACTTGTGCGCAAGGGTATTAAAATATTGATTTAAAATAAAAATCATGGGCATCAAACCATCAGTGGAGGTTATTCCAAGCCTTATGAGGAGCAGCACAAGAAAGTGAACCGAAATGTCTAAAAATTCGTTTGGTGTCGAAGAGGTCCTGCACAATTTTAACAGCGTTTAAGGTTGTGCTTAACATCACTCTACGTAGCCCGTACTAGTTTTGGGTATACCCCAAATTTAGACATCATGCCGTACAGATAGCTTCTCTTTCGGCTATCAAATGGCCTATCAGGGCCTCGGGCACCGGGGTTGCAATTTTATCAGTACGAATTGTGCTTAACAGCTGATATATGTGCCAACCAGCTCTTCGCATAGACTTTGAATAGCTCCGCGAGCATCATTGTTTTTAGGCCGCATTTATTTTTGTTCTCACCTCATCTTGGTCAAGTAGAGAGACGTGAGTATCGTCTCTATATATGTATGTAGATTTGTGTAGGTTCTTCTTCATCAGACCTGTATTTCCGTATTGCCATTCAAAAGCGTTGAAAATTGTTCGTACCATTTCTCAAGTGTACGCCGGCCTCTGTTACCAGATTTACACCTTACAAGCATTGGATTGCTACTTTCTTTTTTGAGTGAATTTTCGTGCCGCATTCTTCTTTGATAACATCTCATGCTCTTCACATCGTCGCGTCTTTATCCGGTTGAATAGATTTTGTATTTTTTTTTTGCCAGGTAAAATGCTACCTCAGGATGATGGAAATTAGAAAAAAAATATAACAGCCGTCGCATAGTGGTACAAAACTGGAATTTACCGTTCATAATTCACTGGAGTCTTAATTTTCCAACCCATTAGATACAATTCTTTTAAGTGAAAGCTTAAGTTGTACTTTGTTTTACTAAAATTGGATAATCTATAAAACTGCATACCCAAAATTTTTCTTAATATTTAAAATATTTCCTGAGTTTTTTTCGCTTTGGGGAACTCTAAAATTATTTCGAGCTAGTTTTTACTATGAATTGTTTGTTAAATGGAAAAGGAGAATTGATTTTCGCCAAAATTGCTCCTCTTTCTGCCATTGCTAAGGCTTCCTCAAGTGGGCCCCGAATTTACCAAAATTAATATTTTTCAATGATATTTAGGCAGCACCGAGTTTTGTAGTTGAAAAGTATACTGTATAAATTTTGTTGCGAAATCCCAAACATATTTTTTTTTTTATCAACAATTGAAAATTTTTGCAGTGTTTTGGAAATTTTTATTTTCCGTTGAAAGTTAGTGTCGGAATGAAAATTTTTTTTTTTGGTGCAGATATAAAAAACATTCAACTATACAAGGAAGTTATTTACGTTATAAAAATATTTTTTTTTTTTGCTTTTTAATAATTTTTTTATGAAAAATTGAACATTTAAGCAATTTCTGCGCCTCGTGGACGAAAATTTTGAACAACGACTACTGTAATAAACATTTCTGCATGCATCTATGAAAACAAATGCTTGCATTTCGATATAGTTTGGTCAGAATGAATTTTTATTTGCCAATCTTGGTAAATTCGGGGCCCACTTGAGAAAGCCTTACCCATTATCAAATAAAAATCGGCCCATATTAAATTTTATAACCTTTCATAAAAAAAAAAAATATCAAAATGTGTGAAAAATGAATGCGCTCCAGTGAATTATGAACAGTAAGTACCAGTTTTGAACTAAATATTGTGCGTCGCCCGTCAGCAGTCAATGTCAAACATCCGATTGTATTTCTGCCATAAAAAAAATCTTCTCATAAAATCCATTTGCCGTTCGGAGGCGCGCCGTTAAATTGTAGGGCCCCCCATTTGTGTAATAACATCAAGTGGCGCACCACAAATTGGAGAAGAAGCTCGGCCAAACACTAAGCTCAAGCGTTAGCGCCAAAATATTATGTATATATTAATATTATTTTAAAACTTTTTAAACACTGTGCTTCTTTTATTTGTCGCTCTTGTTCTACGCGTGCATGTTTGTATGTATGAATGTATACTCATATTCCAGAATGTACATATGTATGTCTGCATGCCTAAATATTTACTTAATACGCCCATAAATGGTGTTCACATTCGGGTGCACACATACATACATATTTTCTGGGTGCGGTGCAATTATTTTTCAAGGCATGCAATTTATTCATTCAACTTTTTTTTCTGCGCATAATTTGGCAAATGTTTACATACATATTTACGCTGCTGACGCGGCGACAAGCTTTTTGGCCAAATGCGCCCAAAAGCTAACAAACAAAATCAAAAATGCCCAATTAAAACTTTTGTATGATTAATGCGTGGCGCTACTAATATTCACCGCCTTCAATGGCCGAAAGTCACAAATCACGCGCACACCAACACACACGCATGCTCACAGTTATATGTATGTATGTACATGTGTGCGCATTTGCACGTGCTGGCGCATACATAAGCGCCACTTTGGGCTATTTATGCGTCTGGTTATTTGTTAAATTTGCGCCAACTTTCATTTTCAATACAATCAAATAAAGTCGAAAAATTATAAGAAAAATGAAAACAGCAGCAACAACAACAGCAAGAACCACACAGAAATTGAATGCAAAGAGCACAGAAGCCAAGTGGTTGCAAGAAAAAGACAAATACAAAATCAAAAAAAAAAAAAAACGATAAACGAATTTGCAATGTCAGCGCATTAATAGAAACATCAATTTTAAAGCGCCGTCAGTATGTACTTGAACACGTTGCGGCGAACGGGCGTCATGATGCGTCAGTGTGTATGTCATATACAAACATACTGTGTGTGTGGTGCGACTGCGTGCCCACATTTTGATAAGATTTCACTCAATTCAACAGCAACGTCACTCCCATGGTTGGTAGCGGTGGCACTTGAAACTGGCCGTTTGGCTGCCACTCAGCTTGGCTGTTCCATTGACTGCCTGTCTATCCGCTCGACTTGGCTCTGTTGGGCTCGGCTTGGCTGGCCATTGGCGCAAACCCATCACATCAGCCAAAAGCAATCGATTCGTGCGTCATATTTTAACATAAGCCACACACATATATGTACCTGTAGTTGTGTATATACATATGTACATAGATATCACAATTTCGCCGTCAAGTCATGCAAAGTCAGTCAGTGTGGCACGAATGCAGACCCTGAAGAGCCACCGCGAGACAACACCGCTGACGCGCAGGGGCCATTTGAATTGTTTTCTTTCTCTTAAATTGTGACATTTAGAAATAACAAATCATAAACTGGAAAGCAGCAGCAGCAGCAGCAGCAATATTCCAACAAGTTGACCGAGTGTGAGTACTTGTCCCATTAGTTAGCTGCCGAAGTTGAAAGACGCTACCAGAGCTGCTAGCGGCGCTACCGGCTTTGGCGTGATTGCAGCTGCTGCGACTTCATTGGACCAATGGCCTGTAGGCCTGTGCGCACTAACTAACTAACTAGGCAGGCAATTGAATATCTAATAAGTTGTTACAAATACATAAATATGAGAAACGCTTTAAGGTGGATCGATTTTTCGGCAAAAATATTCTATGGGCTGAGATTCCCGATATCACCCAAAGTATTATGAATTTTTTAATAAAATTCGCAGGGGGTGTACAAATGCGAATAGTTTTTAAGTTATTCGTTGTTAAAATTTCCCCACTGCTTTTTAGCTGCTTACCACAGACCACAACTCGCACCATAAACATGCAGATTGAGAAAAATTATGCTGTGCAGGGGATGGGAAAGTCGCCAGGAGCTTGCTCGTTGCGAATGAAATGAGGTGAGTTATATCAGCCTACAAGCGCTCTTCTAATACCAGGATTCAGGAAAGGAGTAGAGGGATACGTTTATCTACCAGAAAGGTGAGTCCTTTTCCATAGTCTCAAACGAATAATTAAAACGACTATGAAGAACAAAGAGGTGGCTGTATGTTGCTTTCTGATAGCACCGAGCACTCTTCAACAGACAGTTTTCTTCTGGCGCAAAGGTGCTGCAGTTGCCACATGCCACTGAATAGCAATCATCTTTAAATTCAGAACCACAACTTCCACTTCAGGATGGAAAACAAAAAAGATGACCACATGGCAGAGTAGTGTGCCCTCTATTACGATTCCTATTTATAGATGAACTACTGGGCCCTCTGATTGGCAACGGCTTCGATCTCTCGGGTTATGCCAAGGACATATTCATCTTAATAAAAAGGTTGGTTAAGTGATACTATCTCAAACCTCCTTCATAGTTGCCATTAATGCAGTCAAAACCAGTTGAGCAGCAACCACAAGAAAGCTAGCGCACTTTTTCTCAAGGAAAGGAAAAAGGGTCAAACTGCTAGAACAAGTTCGTCAAGGAGAAAAAATGTACGTCTCTAAAGAAATCAAATGTCTGGGAGTTATTCTTGATGACAAGCTCGCCTGGAACTCGGTAGGCAATTGGAGACACTTTAGAGGGTGTTATGTTCCCAATTTTGGATCGAGATGATAATCTTACTAAAAGGTGTATCAGTTTGCGATTCATTGAGACGTGGGCAACCACATAAAATATGCGCTGATGTTTCCTCCACCAGCCCACAACTGATCGACTTTCACTTGACACATTTTATAGAAAGAGCTTTTTCTGCCGAATCACATCTACTTATATGAATTTCCTCTCAACTCTCAAATCGCGTCCACGCTAATGTCGGTACATTCATAAAGACATATCGCGAATCACAAGTAGCTGTCTCCATTTGCTTTCAAATCAATTGATGATATCTTCACCGATTTAGCTTAAACTTAATTTACAACTTTGTTGTTTTTCAGCTTGGCTACCCCGACGCAATGGTCGTTGGTGCA